GTGTTTCTGTGTTTGGTAGAATTTGTCTGCTGTATTCTGAGTAGTAGAACCATGATGATTTCCTGTAAAGCCAGGAGGTGATAAAGCATAGTGAAACGAACTCGAAGGTTGGGGCCAAATGAACCCAGGCTCAGTCCTGGCCCCCACAACTTACCAGCCAGTGAACTTGTCTACCTTCTTCAACCTCTCTGAACCTCCATTTTTCCATCTGCAAAACAGGCATGATAATATGTACCTCCTAGGATTTTTGCAAAATTAAATGCTAGAATATAAGCAAAAGTGTGGCTTTCAGTAAATGTTATTTTACTTTGGTCACCATCACCAGTGATTTTTCTTTAATTGTGCTGTAAGGAGTTTTCCTCAGGTCTTACTACCGTAGGTATAAATGAGGGACATGTTATCCCTAACCCCCCAAATGTCACTGCCTCTTGTCCCTACCAACTCATACATTTGTTTCTACTCAGTTATTTCTGTGGGTCCCCATGGAGCCAACTGGGAGCTCATAGAAGCTTCCCGTTGACTTTCCTGTTGCTGGGCACACTTCCACCGATACTGCTGAGGCCTCCATGGAACACATCCTTGAGTCACCTAGTCAGCCCCTGAGGTGTGGTGACAGGCCTGTAGCACGGTAGGTGCTTATCCAGGAGTCCTGGGCGAGTGTGTCACCAGGATACTCCTCCTGCCTGGCCAGTTCTGCATGTGGGCTTTAGGGAGACGTAGCATTCCTGCCTGGCTGTCCTAACCCCTCTTGGCCCTCTCCTCAAAAAAAAAAATAAAAATGAAATCAAAATAAAGCAAGGGCTCTGGGCTCAGGGCTTGTGGGAAGCACCGAAGGCTTTGCAGCCAGGCTCTGGGCTGGCTGGCCGGCCTGTGCTGCTGGAAATAGTTCGGTTTAAAGGCAGCACAAAGCTGGCCCTGTGAGGGTGCTGCTTCGGCTGCCTTTCAAAAAAGGGATTTTTTTTTTTTTTTTAACTTTTGTGATTTGGGCTTTTGATCCCTTGGTTGTGGCTCTGTTCTCTCACCTTCTCTCCCAGGCCTTGGAAGGCTGGCGGTCTAGGCAGGAGGACCCAGCAGTTATCCTCAGCACGCTGAAGAGGGATTGTCACCTGCCAAGATGGGCAACTACCTCCTCCCCATATGCCGGCCCTCAGAGGGTGCCTCTGGGGGGCACTGACCCCTCCTTCCCCCCTCTTCTTCCCTGCTGATTGCTTAAATTTTGGGTTACTGCCAGCACAGCCAATCCAGAACACTCTTTCCCCCCTACACTTTGTGATATTAATAAAGCAATTTCTTCTCTCTCTGGATTCAGGCTCCTAGGCACTACCTTTGGCTCACTCCCAGCTTGACTAGCAAGTGGGGAGATCATTCTGGAACCTTGCCATGTCAGAATGAGACTAAATCCCATCTCTAGGTTGTGTCTACCGTGCTGACAGGATTCTTCAAACTGCTGAAAGGTGAGCTGTGGGCAGGATCACAGGGAAAGGAGATTTGGGAAATCAGCCCCAAATCTGTAGCTGAATCATCTCCTGAAGGAGGCGGTGGTGGAAGGATATCTCGTGTTATCTGTCCAGTCCCTGGGAAGGAAGGGTCTGTCTGGCAAATCTTGTTCTAGGATGAGATGTCACCGTTCTCCTGCTGGGCTCCTGTGACACTCTGGGGGAAAGGAAGAGCGGGGATGGGTTGAGGAGGTGCCTTCAGCCCAGAGGCCCAGAGTGTGCCCTGTGTCAGAGCCAGCTGTCTCCTGGTTTTACCCCATAATGCCTGGATGAGCCTGTTGTAGTTACTCATTTAATAGCAGAGAATTCCCTGCTTTTTTCTCTTGTTTGTAAATACTCCTAGAGTTGAGGGCATAAATGTACACACACTAGATTATGAAATTGGGTTTTTAATTCCTCCTCCATTTCCCTGTTAACGGTGCCATATACTTGCTGCATTTCTGTGTTAAACATTAAGAGAAAGGACATAATTCACTCTTACAGCTACGTTTCTATTTGGTCTCCACATCAGCTCGGATGGCAAAGATACTTAGCACCTCTGCCACATAGCTTCTTTGTTCACAGCAGACGTGGGTTGTTGAGCACACAGCACCTCACACTGAGGCAGATGGGCCTTCCGAATCCTTCTCAACACTGTGCTAGGCAAACACTGCTGATCAGAATCGGTATGTGAGATGTAAGCTGTTTGCTCTCCTGCCTTATAATAGTCACTTACTTGTCTTTAGAGCTCTTTGTCAATTCTCTCCAAATGGTCCTTTGTACCTTATATTGCAAAGTGCCCTCACTTCATAAAAATGTGAAGATATGTTTTTACTACTCTGTAAGTTGCTTGAGAGAAGAATCTGTGTTTCCTTCATCTTTGCATCATGCCAGCTCTGCACTACCGACTTCAGTACCTCTTTGTTGGATCAATGAATGATTATGAGGTTGGACAATAAGTTCACAAACTCATGCTAGAAAAAGTGCTACATACCTCATTGCTGAAAATTACCATAGCACCTTTGAAGTCCTTCCCTTAGCCGTCTGGCGACTGTCGTGATACTCAGCAATGGGGTATGTAGCACTTTTTCTAGGATGTGTTTGCTAACTTAATTGTCCAACCTCGTATCATCTTCTCCGTAAGACTGAGACGACAGTGTTGAAATTGTACTCAGGATCCGCTTCAGGCCTTGCGGCTCCCTCAGTGATATGTGTCATTATATATTCTCTCTCCTGAAATGAACGAAAGCCAACCAACAATTACCAAATAAAAGTTGACAGCACATTGAAACCCACTTCCTGCCCCAAACCAGAACAAAGCGGGGACAGTTTGTCTCATGTAAATGTCATAATACAGGAAACTGCCTCCCCTGAGCCCAAGTGCAATTCAACGTGACGTCTTTCTCAACTTCATTGCAGCGGGTGTGGGGATACCACCTGCGTTCCCCAGGAGTATACTACCATGGGGGTCGTACAATGTCACACAACTGAATTGTCACGGGAACCCTGACCTCACCTATGACCATTCACCTCTATGTTCCCTGTGCTTGGCCACCTGGACCTCTTGCTACCCCTGTCCAGGGTCTGTCCCTCATGTTGGGCAGCCACAGGTCCACCTCCTCACCTTCCTCCAGTCTCTTCCCAGTGTCTCCTTGTGTCCTGTTAGCCCTGTCACTCTCTTTCCTCATTTTCTTAGCACTTATAACCACTGGACCTCTGGACAGTGGTGACATCTAGGATGAGCAGTGAGAGCTCACCCTAGAATGAGATCTGCTAGTCAGTACCTTTCTTCCCAGGGACTGGGGTTCTTATTTGTTCATTATCTGCCTCTTGCCCTGGGATGTGTGCTCTGGGGACACCCCAGTTGCTGTTTCCCCAGTGCTCAGAGCAGGGGTCCCAGTCTCAACACGACAGGCAATTCTTCATTTTTGGAGGCCTGTCCTATGCATTGTTGCCAAGCAGCACCCCTGACCTCTGCCCATTAGATGCGTGCACCTCCCCTGCCCCCAAATCTTGGCAATCCCTGACAATCAAGAATGTTTCCAGACACTGCTAAATGTCCCCTGGGGAGGGCCACAGTCACCTTGGGTTGAGAACCACTGGCCTAGAACAACACTTAGCATGTACTAAACACAAACGCGTGATGAGAGAATGACTTGACTCTGCACTGGTTGTGCTCCTACTGTGCGCTAAGCCCTGGTGAGTTCTCTCCTACTCACTGCATCTGTGCCCTGATAAAGCGATTCCCACTTGTGGGTTGATTGTGAGGTTTAGTGACAATATCCACAAAGCATCGAAGACAGTTCCAGATACATAGCAGGAGATGCTTAATAACTGGCAGCCGTGACCTTATACAGAGGCCTCAACCAGCCTCTGCACCCCGACTCCCTGTTTCTAAGCACCTCACTTTATAGATATAGAGACTGAATTGGAGGAATCTGCCCAAGGTGGAACAGCCAGGAAGTGATGAAGCCAGTTTTTGGATCCCCGTGTTCTGGGCTGTAGGACTCTCCCTCCCGGGAGAGAGGGATGGCTGGGTGAGTCCTCATCCGTCTGAGCCCCCAGCCCTGTGCCTCACATCCCTGCTCACTAGATGTTCATAGAAGTACTGAATGCACAGCGCAGCACCCACAGTCAGGTGGAGTCAGTTGTGTAGTGGAGCCTGCCGAGCGTGCAGGATGATGGGCAGTGGGAGACTTTTCTTTTTTTCTTTCTTTTTCTGGGGGCAGACTGTTCAGTAGCATTATTAGCGTGTCTCCTGGGCCGAGCTTGGGTGAGCCCAAGGGTCCAAGGTCTCCACGGTGGGAGGGCTCTGGAATCTGTGGCCCTGTCCTCCCTACAGGAGCAGGCAGGACAGGGCAGGGGGCTGGCAGCCACCAAGGCCTCTGTCCTCAGTCTGCCTCCCGGAAGGTCTCCTCCTTCTTTCTCAGATCGCTTCTTTTTTCTCCCCTCTGCTCCTTTTCCAAATTGGAGGCTTTGAGGCCCGCTTGGTCCTTTCTCTTTTCTGCTTTCTACATCTTACGGCCCCTGCCTGACTTCGCAGCAGACACAGTTCCGGCTTCAGAACTGCCCTAGTTGTCTAACCTACATTTCCCGCTTCCTGCTGGGAAGAAGGATTTCTCCCCTGCCCTGCAAGGTGGGTTTGAGGCCTGGCTCACGCCTCTCTCCCTTTCTCTCCTCCCAGGTTGGGACCCTCCCCACACCAAGCCCAAGGGTGGCTTGTCAAATCTTTGCCCTTTGGGGCCTAGGGAGGGACTTCTCCATGCTTTCATCCTTCCTGGCCTTTTCAAAAGGAGCTGTGTTCTCCCTGACAGCTGCAGCGCCACCCAGCCCGCTGGGACAGGGATTTTTGTCTGCCCAGCCCTAGAGTGATGCTTTATGTGTATGAAGTGAACCCCAAGAAAGCATTTGCTTTCTGGCCCTGGCAGAGGACGATGGGCTCAAGCTAGTGGCTTCTTTGCTTATGGGCCCTGAGTCCTCCCATGTTTTACCCCACTGGCACCACCCTGCTGCCACACTCAGGAGCAGTCTTTGAGAAAGCCTGTGTTGGAAGGGACATCTGAGTGTGTTGACGAATGCCAACGGCTCTGACGGAGGAAAACAAACGAAAATTTCAGACCAGCTTCCCCCTGCAGTGAATTATTTGATTATTCCTCATGCTGGAGTATCCAGACCCACCTGAGATTCTGACTGTGTTCTCCCTCCAGCCCTGTGTGGATGGGATGGAGGACGGAGCTGACTTTGGGGAAAGGTTAAGTTATTTGGCCTGCCCTGGTCACATGACACACACAGAAACTCTTAGCTGCCTGGACTGAGGAACCTCTCTGAGCTGGAAACACCAAGGTTATTTATATACCTTTAAAATAATAGCAGTAAAAGCAGTACTAGCCTCCCTCTCCTGCTGTCCTGTCCTAGTAGTCCCCTTCTGTCCCCTTGCCTGGGTGTGTTTCCATTCACGGGATGTTGCAAACATACTGGTTCTTTGATTCCACTGAACTCCAAGAGGGCCAGGCTTTTTCAGTTTTGATCATCCCTGGGTCCTAGAAATGTTCATGGCATATAATTGCAGGCCCCAAATATACAAAGGGTGCCAAAAAAATACATATACACATTTTAAGAAAGGTGAAGGGGAACATATTATTTTAAGAAAGGGGGAAAAAAAAGATATTACATGTGTACCATGTTTCCCTGAAAATAAGACACTGTCTTATATTTATTTTTTCTCAAGAAGACACACTAGGGCTTATTTTCAGGGATGTCTTCCTCTCCCGGCTGAAATGCATGGTGTGGCTATGCAGCGTATCTGCATGCCCATCACTAGGTCTTATTATCGGGGTAGGGCTTATATTTAACAAATGCATAGAAATCCTGCTATGGCTTATTTTTTGGGTAGGTCTTATTTTCAGGGAAACATGGTAGTACTCAAGTCATGTTTGATTTCTGTAGTTATAAGAGGTGCTCACCGTCACCTGTATTCATCTTTTGTGACTGCTCTATATTGAGTATTACGATTTTAATACAGGGTTTTCCTTTCTTAAAATGTATATACCTTTTTTTGGCACCTTCTGTGTATTGGATGAACCAATTTTCGTTGCAGACTTTGTGAGGCTGAGAAACAGAAACAGTACTGCTGTGGCCTGAAGTAAACAGTTTTCTCCTTCATCCTGGGTGTGTAATAATGATCACAGCTGCCTGTTCTTTAGAGTGCTGGTTTATCTGCCCTATAATAGCTGAATGTGTGCGGTGCTAACAGGGGAGCTGCCCAGAGGTGTCAAAGGCAGATTCTCCACTTTAGCCCAGGCCTGTCCCACTCCAGAGCCCAACATCTCATCACTGCTATGTTTTCCTGCTCTTTAGTAGAAAAGAAGAGGTCGTGGCTGCCACCTGCAGTGTCTTGGACACAGAGATATGCTGGCCCCAGGACCCCTCCAGGACTGAAGGATCTGTCCCCACACTTGTGGGGAGTGCTGCTGGCACAGCGCTCAGATCGCAGCCCCCTTTAGACATTGTCCCTGTTTGGGAATGCTCCTGAGCCAAAGTCCGTGCCCCCTTCGTAGGCAGCCCACATCTAGTGACTGATTGACATGGGGGTTCAAAAGCCCAGCCCCTACGCACCAACTCAGGCCACGTGAACAATCATCCCCGCTTTTCTCACACCCAGGAGACAGGGCCCAGGCCTCTGCTGAGACTGTCACAGCCCAACTCCTCCCTCTATTCAGTCCTGTTTCTCATGCTTCCCTGACACAGGGCTTGAGCCCAAGAGCGCTTCTGTGAGAGAGAGTGTGTGTAGATGTGGGTCACTATGAAAGTTTTGAGACACATCGTGTTATGATCCAGTATTTCACTTCCAAGAAACACAGTTGACAACATCCTTTCTGATTCACCCGTGTAAGTTTCAAATTGCTCGGCCTTTGTTAGTGTTGCTGGGAGGGTTTCACTTGTTTCGAACCAGGCAGATTTTACATTTCTTGATTTCTGTGTATCTCAAAACTTTTGTAATGACCCATGTACACACCTCTCATGCCAATCTCTAGCTCCTCACTTACTTCTCAGGAATCCCAGCCTGCCTCATTGCCATCCCCCACTCCCGGATCTCTGTGGAAGTGCCTTGTGTCTTGGAAGGCCCCCATATACTGGAGGTGACCCTGAGGTTCAGACTCAGTGCCGTTCCTCTTTGTGGCTCTGAGTCTTGGTGGTTCCCCAGGTAGATGAGTAACTCTTTGCTGAGCTAGTGTAAACCCACATCATGGTCTTCTTCTAGATGGTTTGGGACTGAAAAAAGCAGAAACAGGATTATTACCTCTTTGCACGGCCCACACAGGCAAGGGGGAGGCCTTGTTTGGGGGAAGGTGGTGGGATGGGGCCGAGCGTATGTGCCACGTTTTGGTTGTTCAGCATTTAGGTCCAGTTGCTTCAGTGACAGTCCCATCCTGGACTTCTTTCAAGTACCCTCCTAGTTTCTAGAAAGATCACCACACACACTTGATGTTCAACAAATCTAAGAAGGTAGATGAATAAGCAGGACGGGAAGTAAAAATGAACCAAATAAAGGGAGAAAGTAGGGCTATAATCTCCTTACAGCAGTGGTGCTCAACCTTCCTAATGCCGCAGTATATTTTCTTTCATTGTTACAAAGGGGTTGCGACCCATAGGTTGAGAACCTCTGCCTTACAGACTTCAGGGGACCCAGTCACTTGTAAATTTCTGAAATATTAGTGGAGCACCCTGTGCAAAGCCTGTTCCGGGGGCTGGACGATTGAGCCGTGGTCTCTGTCCAGAGAATGCCTGTGACTCAGCTGTGGGCGTGTCCCTTAACCACTTTCTTTGGCTTGGCCGTATTCAGATGTGGTCTGTTAAACTTGTGTCACTTAACAATCAGGAGGTGACATGATTGCTCCATCTTTAGATCTTAACCTGCTCATCTCTTTGCCTCCTTTCCTCTGTGCATCACTTAGTGTGACGGGACCACTGCCACCACCGATTGCCATTACTTCTTCAGCACTTACCATATGCCAGGCCCTGTGTGTAGAGCAATGTACACCCCTGCTTTAAGGATTATGATTACTCCTTATCACAACTCTGTAAGGCAGGTGCTGTGACTGTCCTATTTTATAGATGGGGCTCTGGGAGGATACATAACTCTAAGGTCTCAGCAAGGGGATCCCCTTGGTGGCCTCCACCTGGAGAAGCCCGCAGTCCCATCCTTTTGGCTCCTGCCTTGACACCTCCGCATGTGCCCCTACAGGCCCTTATCACCCTTGAGCTTCTCATCTTCCTATTGTCTTGTTTTCACATCCCTGTCCTGAGTCTTCATGCCTAAACCTACAACTAACTGTTCTGGTTCCATCTGCCTTTGCAAGTGAACATGAATCTTCTGTCCCTTGTGAAAATGTCCCCTGATGGGTCTTTGGCTGCATGCCCTGCCCTGTGGATACACATAGGGGTTCCTCAGGAGGTGGCAAAATGAGAGTCACTGGGGTATGAGAGCTGCTCCTGCCCTTCGAGCACAGAGCAGCAGACGGTGTCAGGAGGATGTAGGAAGTGTGACTGCTGGTCCCGGGGCAGGTGGAATGGGGTGGGAGCTGAGCACTGAAGCCACCAAAGCTGGCGTCCTGGACTTACCCTCTACCTGCCGAGTGACCCTGGGCAAGTTGCTGGACCTCTCGGCGCTTCTATTCTCCCTTCTGTACAACTGGGATAATAACAGCCTCCCCCGTCACACAGATCCTGCCAGCGGGGCTGCTGGAAGAGTAGGTGAGATGTTGCACTTCAAGAACTGGTTACTCTGTAACCGCAAACACTGGTTGTCAGCACTGTTGTCAGTGTGAGCATGAATTGAATTCCCCCCACCCTCCCTTCCTCTCTCACTCCCTTTTTCCCTTCCTCAGAATTAGTCATCACCCACTACCAGCAAAGCCTGGTGCTGAGGTGGTTGGTGAGAGAGAGATGACAAAGACCGACTCAGCCTTCTAGAAGGACGCGTGCCCCTGAGTCTCACTCCCCTCCTTGCTCCTTAGCTCTGGAGCAGGTCGAGTTCTCTGAGCCTGGGAACACTGGGCTTACCCACATTCACCCTCATACCTGTGTCTGGCTGCCATCCAGAAGGGGAGCAGACCTACAGCCTTCATCCACCTTACAGCGGGAACAGAATTCTCAGGCCCCTTGAAGCCCTGGCATTTCGTGATGCTGTGATTCATCTGTGACCCTTAAAGGACCTGCCTTCACTCCCGGGGTGCAGCACAACAGAACAGGTTCTCAGCGCTTGGCAAATGTGTTCTGAACTGAGCACTAGTAAACAGACTTGGTATTTATGAATGGGTGTCACTGGCTTGCTGTTTTGTATTTTATCACCAAAGATTATGGAAGATTGGGAGCTCTATATTTCAGAGTATGCTTTATGGTTTTCATTACTCTCCTGAATCTCTGCATAATTTGCTGGGATTAGGGATGGAGTGCCTTTGTTTCTTTGTTTGCATTTTCTTCCTTCTGGGTAAACTCGTAAAAATCAATGAAAGGCTGGCAGATGAAAGCCCTGCTCACACCAGAACTTGGCCGCGCGTCCTAACGTGACTGAGTTGTCCTCTTCTGGGTCAGGGAACAGTGGTGGGGTTCAGGATGAGCGAACTTGAACCTAGGTTTTCATGCCTGTGTGGACTCAGAGAGGCCCTTGGGGCTTAGACCAGACCCTGTGTTTACAGATGGGGAAACTGAGGCCCAGAATGAGGAAATGACCCGTCTGAACCTGGCTTACCTAGCATCTGTGGAACCCCATGCTGAGTCAGCAGATAAATTATTTTTAGGTGCCTGCTGTGTGTAATTAGGCAGGATCAGGGAGCGGCCTTGTTTCTTTGTGTGAGTTTTCCTTTTTAACACTGAGCCCAGCTGATACTCTGGCACAATGGTCTCCAAAACAGGGCGCATGCACAGGTGTGCAGGATGGCACAGTAGGGGCCAGAACAGCTTTTCCTATTGATTATTTTCTCATCCTTTCAGTATTTATATGTTTTGTGTATATTTCATGATGAACTATATGACATGGTTGTACAGATGTATACTGTGTGTGTAGATACATATACTGTATACATTATATATGGT